ATGCAAATCAGGTTTATTATTATGCCCGTTTCAATATGAAATTAGTTCACATTGCATTGAAATGCAATACTTAGTTATAGTTATAATGATGGAAAAGTTGCAAAATTGGTTAACTATTATGCACAGATGTTAACCCAAACTTATGAGGTCTGTGACACCCACAGCATCTATGTATTTAGTTTCTTTGAAGTGTGATCATTGGTGTTTGGGACAGACACACACACACACACAGACACACGCACACACACACACACACACACAGACAGACACACACACAGTGTAATCATGCATATGTAAGTCAAAAATTGTATAACAGTGACAATTACACTTAGGATATTTTGATGGAAAAGTAAAACTGAAGTTTAGAATAGAATAGTTGTGATGTTTAGTTTACTTACAGAGAACGCTAGTAGCTGTCATGTGCACAGGGGGGGTAAGTGGAGTGAAATGGTTTTGTGGAGACCTAAAAGATATAGCCTGTAACACAATCGTATATTCTTGATATTTTATTTTATAATTAATATTTTAATTTTACTTTGCTCAAAAAAAGAACTAATACTTTAGTAGTTAAATCTAAGTTAAATCTAAGTGGTATGAAATTATATATTTTACAGTAGACCACCCTTATTTAAATCTCCATAACTACAGCACACTCACAATTCAATTCATTTGGCGTCACTATAAAACACTACGAACATTCTCAAGACTAATTACCGAAAATCATTTGACATTCAGAAAAAGTCTGAAAAAGTCTGAAACTATAGTATCAATATCATTTTTAATGGTAGAAATGCTAATTAGCCATGAACAAAAATCATATACCGAAAGCAAATACATGGATACTATTGGGCTATGTACATATTATAATAATGGGCCATTTTTTCAAATTATTTTGAAATTATTCAGGACACTGCCATTTATACACAATTTTATGTTGTTAAAGCGAGAGGGTTGTCATCTGCGCACGCGTGGGAATTGAGTCCCAAGCAATAATAACAACACACGCTAAAAATGCAAAGGCTCATGGGTAGACGTTTGTAAACAATGACACGCTATGGCCATCTGACACATGCGCAGGTGACGATCCCCCGCTTTAATTTGCTTCAAACAAATTATTCCATAATAACTTTGACATCTTTGTGCCGTGCATACAAAACACCATCTATATTTTAGACTTGAAGGCTTTGTAAGAGTCACTTTCAATAAACTTGTCGATAGAATTCTTGTGAATATCCTGCTTCATAATTTGCAGCATGCTTCGATCAAATCCGTTCTTTCCTGATAGAAAAAAAATAAGAAATTTTATTGGAACCAGAAATCCTTGGATGTTCAGGTTTCCTACTGGTATTGCTTCCTGTTGTATCAACCCTGATTTTCTTTACATATATGAACATAATATTTTACCCTGCCCAACCTGTAGCTTATTGAATTTTAATTTAATATGACGTCATATGATTTATGTACTTCGTTTGAATGAATATATGGGGTGAGGGCAGAAATATTAGAAGAAAAAGCAAAATAAAGAATGCCGAACTATGTGAATGTTTCAGTAGGTTCCGTCTGAGCAGCCACAAACTAAAAACTGAAACAGGGAGGTATACCAAACGAAAAACCGAAATAGGAAAAAGAATTTGCGCATTGTGTTTAAATAATAAAGAAGAAGATAAGTATGTACCATGTATTACTAAATTCCCCTTTTATGAAAATTCTCAAATAACACTATTTAAAGAGACTACATTATAAACTTTATAAATATGAGTGACTACAACAAATTTATAAAATTAATGGGTGATACAAACCTGAATGTACAAATACCAGTTGCCCAATTTATTAAAAATAACACAAACCTCAGACAGCAACTCTTTCTGGCAAATTAACATAATATTAGTATTTTTTTTTAAACATTTTTTCCATTCCTTTTTTATGTTTGATTGACTAATATAACTTTTTTTTTCTTATTAATCGCCAGTTTTTTCAATAGTAGTTTTTTTTAAATCATTTTCGTGCTTTGGATAGTAAATTTTGTAGAATTTGTATGTTTTAAATTCATATTCTACATAGTAGTTAGTGCAACCATTTCAAATCCTTCTGAGGAATTTTAAGTGTTTCAAAAAACATTACAAACATTACATTATATTTTGTGGGATAGCATTGATAATGCAGTCCATGTGTTCTTTTTACCAATAGTCAATCTCAATGTTGAGTACAAGTCACTTATAAGTATACATGTCTACCAAAATCTCCAAGCATTATCTGTGTGCATTGAACAAAATGTACTGTTTTCCAAAGAGCTGGCGTGGATGTGAAAAAAAATGGCCTCCAGTTAGAAAAATAAAATATGAGGTGCACCTGTAACCCAGTGTGCATGATCATGATACAAAATTTGAATGAAATCACACTGTCTATCTCAAAGAAAGGAGGCCAGACAAATTTAGACAAAATGGCAGTCAATTCAACAAATTTGACTAAGTCACATAACATCACAACCTACTGTTTTGCCAATCAGCATATTTACTTGTATGCATGATACTAAAAGAAATATCTCAAAAAAATTATAACATTGCGCCAGCAACCCAATCTATGACGTGCACCAGTATCCATATTTGAAAATCATATTTGCATATGTAAGTCATCATACATGATTTTTGTGTTAAGTTTGAATGAGATCAGACAAAACATGTCTGAGAAATGGAGCTGGATGATGGACAGAATCCAAACAAATTGAGTAGTCCTTGATTCAGTTTAGGACTTTGTCTGAAACTGAAAACAAGAACAAATTTGTCTTGCAGATGAGGATAAAATATTCAATTGCCTTCCCCCATTTTCAAATGGTTATAACAACATATGAACAGGGAGTAAGCTCAGTCAAAATCAGTGATCTAATTTTATTTTCATTATATCTATACGTACCAAGACACGCTCTAGCCTTGCGGGTTGCCACCTCAATCAGCTCACTTTGAACACTGATGCCATCGATAATTTTGTTTTGTACTAACTCCTCTGCCGTGTATCGCTTTCCAAATATCAACATATCCCTGGCTATAGCTGGTGATGGAAGCTTTGATCTGTAAAATAATTAAAGAAAGTAAAACTCAACATAGGATACATGTCAAATATATTGCTTGTATGCACACAAATTTGAATACATGCTTCACAGTGACTGGTCCTTAATTTATTAGACCTCAGCTTAATATTATGTATATTGAAATGGCCAACAAAAATGGAAATAATCAATACATTCAATTTCATGAAAATTATAGTTTTGTGACCAAATATGGTTTTATATATATGTTCATACCAATTTCAAACAGAGAACAAGTGAGAATGTTACAAAGAAACTATATTGTCATAAATTGCCATTTTATGAAATTCTCAAAGAGATGTGATAAAAATAATGCAACTCGAACTTGAAAGACATTGACAACATCGCCCTCTAGTGGCATGATATATTTTGTTTCTGTTGCGATACTTACAATAAGAAATTAGCCATAGCATCCTTGAATGCAAGGTTAATATGGATTTCTGGGAAGGACCACCATCCCTGCCGAGTTCGCATGATTTGATAATCATGAGTGAGAGCGAAAATCGCACCACCAGCAAAACAGTGACCTGTGGGAGATACAAAATGATGTATATGATTAAGTAGCATTTGGTTTCAAGTTATGTGCAATGTTATTAATTATCAATTATTCCTGGAAATAAAAGAAAAAGTTTTGAGGAAATTTTTTTCAAAATCTATGCACATGTGTTTCTTTTATTCAATTCCAATTTTTTTTTGTCATTAAAACTATGCTTTCACTTGGATTATTCACACAAATTTAATTTTTTTACCTTTTTTCTTAATTTCTGACAAAAAAAAAAACAATTTTACAATGCTGTGACACACAAATATTTAACTGATTTGTACAATAACAAGAAACATTTGAGCAGCAAACTTTTCCAATTATATAACCTTGCACAAAATAGAACACCAATTTTTAAAACTTATTTTTCAAAATTATGATCAAGATCTGTAGCCAGTAGCAAATGCATCTAATTGGTCTGATTAACTCTATTACATATGCTTAAATGTTATGCAAATCCCAATTGCTTGATTTATCTGATCTGTTTTGATGTAAACTGATATGAACAAGATTGTATAATGTCACATACTTACCGTTAATGGCAGCTATCGTTGGTATAGGAAACGTCATCAAACGGATCAACAATGCGTACAACTGGCCTATGAATTGAATTCCTTCTTCTAGGGATAAGCCTCCTAATTTATCCAAATCTAAACCATTACTGAAAAATTTGCCGATGCCAGATGTGATAAGGGCTTGTGCTGATGACCTATATAAATGGTAGAATAAGATAATTAGATCAAGTAGATTCTATCTATTTAAAGTATACTGATGACAGCACATTGCCGCTTTTTCACTGATGCGAGGGGGAATTCCAAATGACAAAACCAGAATTGATGATTGATGACACATCATTGACACAATCAAGAAACCTAATTCATAGAAAAAACAATTATTTTCCCCCGAAAAATGTTTGGTGACATCAGAACATATCGTAATTGTGAAAATAAGGCATGATTTTATTGATTTAATCGTACATAAATGACACAAGATGCCACCTGGAGTCCCCTAAAAATTGCTGGCCGCTGAACGATGGGGAACGTAACTATCGTACCTCCCTCCCACACTTGAAAATCAAACTAGGAAAGTTGCTGTGCCAGGTCTAACGCTGCTATCTATTACTGACCTACTCAAATTTCAATTTTTAATTTTTGACTCACAAAAATCACAAACCACTGTATGCTAGAGGGAACACTGACTTCTGGTTATATTAATGTAATAATATTATTAACTATGAATATACCTACTACTGTTTTTAATATACCAGGGTAGTTTAATAAGTGGTATCTTTATAGTCAAGACGACCAATGTTTAATTTTTTAAGCTTCACTGAACTTCAGATAATAGATGCAAATTAGAGTTAAGAAATTGTTAGAAATGAGATGTGTACATTTGTTATGTTTGCATATCGAATAAAATACCATTTTTATTTAACACTATGAAGCCAGACATAATTGCCTATCATGGTAGTTTGCAATCAGCTTGATAATGTTAGGTCATAACATTATTCAAAAATAAGACATTTTTGTCATCATATTCTGAAAATCTATTCAAATAACAAAATTTGTTTCTGAACTAATAAATTATATTAATTTTCGAATCAAATAATATTTTTTTAATTGTAGTAAAGTACCTAAATGCATTTTATTATTCATAAGGTACCATTGTAGTTTGTTCATCATATCATTATGTTGTATACTGTATTCTGAATGAGTGGATGTATCTACTCTCTTATTATCTGAATTTAATGATGAGATGCATCTGTTTATGTATCACACCGTCCAAGCATTATCTGAATAAATAATACAGTTCACAATTTTTGTAGTAATTCAAACCTGTAAAATATAGTATTCATTTAAAATAGATAGAACATGTCAGATTAACTGGTAGTACTGTAAAATCTGTATTAGGATCCGCGGTTTCTATTAAAATGGTACAATGCAACAGAGGGAACACAGCTTCTATTAGAGCATCTACACATATAAAAAGTAATGAAATTTGGTTCTCTATTGTTCAAAAAAAATGGGTGCGACTTCTATTAGGGATGCAGCTTCTAATATAGATTTAACGGTATAGTACAAACATTTGTTTATAATATGCGTCCATTCAGAGTTTTGAAGAACAATTTGAATTGTGAGGTAATACGATAGTATTATGCACATATGCAAAACAGGTAATTAAAGTAAAGGGTGCATGTTCTGCAGCTGCCTTGTGTAACAAATATTATCATATGTATGCTATGTATTGCCTCATTCATTGTCTCATGAAATGTCTTGTGACGTATCACGGCCTTAACTGGACAGCAATGTAAAGCATGGCTACTTAATAAACACCAATCAAAACTGAACATTCTGTGCATGGACGATATTCAGAAAGCCCTAGCTTAAGCAAATAAAAATTGTTGTCCAAATTTTTTTAATCAATGCAGATAACATTAAACTCAACTTATTGAGGATGTTTGACATCATACATGTGGCAAGCTGAATTGGACAAGCATGGTTCTTTTTCTTTTTTGCATGTGCTCATTACACACATTAGCTTTTCCCATTCAGGACATTTGATTTTCTTCAGATATGCTCCTAAAATTTCCATCTTAAATTCTGGATTATGCGACCTCCATTTTATTAATAACTCACTGTAACCAGTGTTTTTGCATAATGAAGGTATATTACCATAAAGGTCAACATAGTGTACTTATAGATTATTTCATTCAGACTGTGGAAATTATAATTCTGGGGAATTGTTTCATCGATTAAAATCAATAAATCTTTGTAGCTGTAATTGTTGTTGTTGGTATTTTAGAGCATTAATAAACAAGGCTAGTGGGGACATCCTTAGCAATATACAGGATTCATTTATAATCCTTTAATATTAGAGAGACTGTGATGTAGGAGGGTCGGCAAGGGGTATTTTTGTAAGCTGTAATCAATTGTTTTTATTTTCGTAATAATGTAATTTAAATAAATAAAAAAGGTAAATTTGTAGACATGGGCAATTGGAAAAATGTAATCAGCTATTTTATTCGTCAGTAATTTTTACAAAGATCTTATTTTTTTGTAAGCGTAAAAAGCATTTTCCACATTAAATGTCGCAATTCGTACACAATTTCCAATTTGATTCTTAAACACAAATTATCAAATATATATAAAAATGTAAAATGTAATTAGGAATTTGCTTTATCTGTAAAGTGTAAAAACCTATTTTTTTACTGTAAATGGAACTTTCATATCATTTCCTGTAAAAAACGTTAAATGCCTTTTTTATTTCCTGTAACCTGTACCATCCATCCCCCCCTTGCCACCTTCATGTAGTGTAAAGCCCCCCCCCTCACCCTATTATTTCTTATTACGCACTTCGGTACTAAAATCGATAAAAACTGTCGAAATGTTCTTGCATAGTATGATTTTGCACAAAATAAACTCAGCGAATGGAAAGAATGGTTATTAATGCAGACGCCCTGGGATTTTGATTTTTACATTTATAAGAAGTGGGTCGTTGAAATGGAGGTTTTCAAGGGCATTTCCAGCAGGATTTTGGGGATATGGTTAGAGTTAAATAACCTGTAGTATAGAGTATATAGAAAATAGGAAAGGTGTTCAACTCGAGATTTAGTTGTGTTTTTACCGCCGATCGAGTCGTTCGATAGCGCACAGAAACACTAATTTTTCTGCATTAACTGGCAATAAAATATCACACACAAAATCACGTAATTGGATAAACTGGAGTGTTGGTGAATGAACTGTGCATACTTGTCATAGTGATTAAGCTAACCGTTAAGTTTACATAACACTCACCTCTCGACTTCATCTAAACATTTATTTATTTCCCCAACTGTGTGTGGATTAAATCTATTTTCATCATTGTTCATCCATAGTATTGCTATATCATCCCGGAGCTCCACGGAATATCCCGGTGGCGGTGAACTGGGTCGAGCCATGTTAGTCGCTAAAAGGTCAAAGTGCATTGCGCTAGGTACAAAGTTCATCTTATACCAGGTTCACCAAAGTGCGTCTTCACCAACGCGATATCTGGCGTTTATTCGTCACTGTTATTACCTACAACTCCCCGTGAGAAAACTCGCATGTACGTAACGTTAAAGATACCGGTAGTTTTTCTTCTAAAATACCTAAATACTTGTTTTGGAGATAGACCATTTGGGTTAAATCGGCACTGTCGTTAGGAAAAAAAAACACTTTCAGTTGAAGAATTACCGATTTAAATAAAATTCAATAAAAATGTATTAAGTGCAGATATACTCTAGTGTGTACTATTCCAAGTTGTATGTCAAATTTGAGAATCAGTTCAAGTTTTTTTTTTATTACTAAACTCTTCTCAAACAGCGCCACCTAAAGTTGATGATGCAACGTTTTGTAAATAACGTTTTGAAAATTTACAGGCTATTAAGGGAGGTGGTCGTCGCACAGCGCGTGTTCGAATTTAAGGTAGAAGCCTACACATAAATTAAAAAACCCAGAGTTTATTCATTTTGCAATAAACTGTACTCCAAGGCAATATAAGGATATTGACCTTAAAAAAATATGCGAATCACCAGCCTTTTTTTCGAGAAATTTATGGTTGTATTTTAGTGGAAAGTCGTCATTTTGACACCATAACACTTTTACTACAGGTTCCTATGGCAGAGATATTTAAGCAATAACTAAAAGCTTAAATATACCATGGATTGTGTCACATTATAATCTAGTATCGGTAATTAGTCACCTGCAGTGTATACCACTTCAGATGCTATTGTTTTAAACAAAGAGTTAGTTAGGCTTAGTTGAGGACAGTCGCCCAGCTGTACTA